ATATAATTATAATAATAATAATAATAATAATAATAATTATTATTATTATTATTATTATTATTATTATTATTATTATTATTATTATTAACCATATCATAAGTTTACGTATTTCAAAACTTCATTTGACCTACTCCCGGCTTATGATATATACACCTCTTTTTTTTTGTAAGTACACCTCCTTTATATTTTTTTTAAAAATTACAAAATATTGTAGTTTTTTTTAAATCTTTTATTTTTACAGCTTTAATTTTCAATTTTCTACTTTCTTCTTCTTTTTCACACAAATTTTTTTTTTGTTTTCACATGCTATCAAAATAGGTAAGGTGAAAGAAAGATAAGGAGGTGCATATAAAAATTAAAAAAAAAGAGGGAAGATGTGTGAAAAAAAAATACTAAATTAAAAATTAAAAAATTAAAAATATTTTAAAATTTTAATTTTTTTTTAAAAGGAGATGTACTTAAAGAAAAAAGGAGGTGTATATATCATGAACCCGAGCAATCTATATCCACAACGCTTTCTTACTCATATACCCAAAATGTTTAACAAAAATAGTGCTTTGTTTTAATTAATATTTTCTATCTAAAAGGAGTGCAACGTGTGCCTAAAGAAGTGTCCTTGTATACATTGTTAGGAGAAGTCGTCAAACCTCAAATCAACGCGTAATGGCATCAGACGCTCGAGCGTCTAAATGCTCCTGCACTCGTGCTCTCTATGTTAAGACAATTTTGAGAATAATTCCAACCAAACCATTTTATAAAAATAGTTGAACAAGTTTTTCTTTTAAAAAAGAAATCACTTTTTCGGCTAATTCCAAAGATTTTCTCTCGATAAATGTAAAATTTGAACATCATAAGCGATTTTTTATTTTAATTTTTATAATTTTTATTTTTTTTCATCCTCTAAAATTTATGATCTTCGATTTTAGTCCTTAAAAAATATAAATTTTAATTTTCATCTCTATAAAATATTTTTTTATATATTATTTCTAAAATTTAAAGTCACTATTTTTATAATTTATAATTTTTTTTAGAAATGTCACATATTAACATGATATTAAATATAATTGTGAGTGTTACTTAGAAGTTATTGAGAGAAATTCAAGTCTCACATCGACTAAAAATTATGTAATTAAATAGTATATAAGTGGAAAACAACCCTCATCATACAAGCCGGTTTTGTAGGGTTGAGTTAAGTTTAAATTTACTATTATAAGATGATATCAGACCTATCATAGATTCTTAAAAATGGGTCACCCACCATTGATATATGCACCATGAACATGAATGAGTGTATTCAAGTCTCGTCAATCCTAGATTATTAAAAAAAAAAGACCGATTTTGTAAAGTTGAATTAGACTTAAATCCACTATTATAAGAGAAGTAGTTATTTGATCATATGATGAATTAATTTTTTTTAAAAAAATTAAAATTAAAAGTAATTCATTTTGCATGACGCTAAAAACATGTTAAACTAATTGAAAAAAATACCATACAAAGAGCTTTATTATTCTTCAACGATTGAAACATTCCAACTTTAACTTTGAGCTTTTTTTTTCAGTGGAAAATACTTTGGCATAAATTTTTGTCTCCTGGCCTTCCCATGATGTGATACTCCTCCTAAGAAGTGTAAAGTAATCACACACGAGTTCTTTATAATATTTACAAAATTCTAGAAACAAAATAAAATTATTTCATTTATTTTTTTAATTTTTCATTAATTAATTAAATTTCTATCTTATTTTATTATTAAAATATTACACATAAAATCAATAAAATATAATATAATTGATAGATAATTTTGTCTTTATTGATATGTGGAAACAAGATACTATTAGGCTTTTTGACCCATCTAAATAATAAAAAAAAATACACGAAATTTTTTTTAAAAAAAAGTAATTACCAAAATAGGTAGTTTTGGACATGTAGGAGCCAACGTGGCATTGAAAACGCCTAGGGGGTGGGCGTCTTTTAGAAGACGCCTCCACCCCAAGCGCCATCTATGCTGATGTGGCACGGTGAAGAGAAAACGCTGGGGGGGAGGCGTGTTGTACACGTGGCAGAATTTCGTTGAAGGCGCCAAGTGTGCTGATGTGGCAGACACTGTAGGCGCCTCCCCCCCAGGCGCCATTTGTGTACACTGAAGGTGCCTCCCCCCTAGGCGCCATCTGTACCACATTCCCTCTTTCTATCTTTAAATGGTGCTGGGGGAGGGTTATTTTTGTGGAAAAACGCTTGAGGTCCCGGCGCTTTGAGAATACCAGTGTCTTACCAGTGATTCTTGCCTACAAAAGTATATTTACACGGTGTTATCAGGTATGTTTTGAATTTTAATAATTTTAAAAGTAAGAAAAAAATTTAAATAGGAAATGTCGAGGGATACTCGTCACTGGTTTGTGGGTGTGGAACAGTCCGTTCTGTTTTTGGAACGGGCCGTTCCTGGTAAAGTAAATGGGTGTTATTTTGGATGTGGAACGGGTTGTTGTGAAATCAGAATGGCCCGTTCTACTTTCAGAACGGCCCGTTGTACTTTTAGAACCGGCCGTTCTGAAGGTAGAACGGGCCGTTGTGGGGCCGTTCTCGTTGTTTCATTTAGTGAAGTATGGAAGGGTTCGGAACGGCCCGTTCTGCTTTCGGAACGGCCCGTTCCGAAACCCAAATTTAAACACTTTTTGTGCAATGAAAACGGCCCGTTCTGAAACCAGAACGGCCCGTTCTCATTGCAGTAATGAATGATTTCAATTCAAAATGTTGAATTATTATGAGGGTTTAAATTAGGTATTTAGGTATTTGTAAAATTTAAAAATAAATTGTTGTTTGAATTTATTTAATTTGTTTGTTTGTTGAATTATATCAGGATGTCTAGACAGATTATTCATGCAGGACCTATGGATGATTCATTATTAAGGCTTCAGGCATTCCATATATCTGAGCATATATGGAATGGAGCTGAGGATAGGGTTCTGAAGGTTAGGAGTGCAAAACAATCAGAGTTGCGTGGTGGTGACATTCCAGCTGCTGTTCAGGATCTTTTACAGAGGGCTGGTTTTATGGGGATGGCGCAGATTAGTTACTTTCCTGTGGATAATCATTTAATATCTACGTTAGTTGAGCGATGAATATTTATTTACTCAAATCTTATTACAAATATGACATCAAAATTGATACTAATAATTAAATAAATTAATTAAAAAAGTTTTAACAAATATCATTAATAAATTCTAGAAATAAAATATTTTAATAATATTATTAAAATTGATAACGTCAAAAAATAATGAAATACAAAAAAAAAAAGAGAAATAAAGATATGGGAGGGAGAGAGAGGGAGAGAGGGGGAGTGAGAATTAGAGTTATATGGAGAGCTAGAGGGAGAAAGAGAAATAGAAAGAGAAAGGGAGAGAGAGAGAGGGAGGGAGGGAGAAAGAGAAATAGAAAGGGGGAGAGAGAAAGAGAGAGAGAGGAAGAGAAGACGAGTGAGAGTGTGAGAGATAGAGAAATAGAAGGAGAGAGAGATTTTCTATTTAAAAAAAAATAGTATAATCTTTTTATATGTATTAAACTTTTATCCTAACTCAAAAAAGTTAAATTCCTACCTTTCATAAGAATATTTTTGTAAGAAAATGAGATAAAAATGATTTTCAAGAAATTACATTCTTAGAATTTTTTTTAAAATAATTAAAAATATAAAAAATTAAGATTGTCACCTTAAGATTCTCTGAAATGAAAAAATATTTTGGATATCAAACACTCAATAAAACACGTATGTTAAATAGTGTGTGAACAAAAAGACTTGCAAGAATAATTTTTTTTACAAATACTGAAATTTATAATATAATTGAGTTTAATTTAATTATGTATATACAATTTTTAATATACATTATTTTTATATAGACATTTTAATAAATAAGATGATGTAATAATGTAATCAAATGTTGTTAAATATCTGCATGCGTAGAATATTATTTTACCGATAATATATAAAAATAAACTTATAATAAAGTTTGTGTTGTGATTATCTTAAACTTTTAATTAATTGAAGGCCTGAAAATATACTCGTGCAAAGTATTGGTTGACT